CCTGCTGGGAAGTAACTCGACAGGAGGGGTCACTCTAGCATTTCATTTATTTAAAGTGTCTTAAATTTGGTTAAGTTAATTTATTTATATATTTTTCGCCAAGCTGAAACGTGAACTGGTGATGTTGACTGTGCACTATAACTTGCTTGTGCTACTGGAAGGAGGTAGGGAGGTGTCACAGGGGCTCAACAAGCCCCTCTGAATTTAACTTCTCTAAAATTAAGCTTTGAGAAGCTGCTTCAATTACAGCCCTTTGCCGGGTCAGGCACCTGCATTGTCTTACCTTGCCACAGAGCTGCAAGGCAAGCTCTTAACTAAGTTGTTCTTTTTGTATTACCTCTTCCCCATGTTAAAAAATCCTCAGACACAACCATCCCTTGAAATGAATGGTCTCCCAGCTGCCATTAATCAGGCTCTTTCCCATCAGCCATCAGGTTTGACAGCAATGATCAGGAAGAACAAACTCCAGGTCAGCAAAAGTATCTCTCTCCTCTCCATTCTCTTTCCAGGAGCACTTTGCGTGTTAACTTTGTTGCCTTTTCTAGGGTAAGCTTTGTACAAGTGGGAAGTACCTGGTTTAAGGTTACAGATTGTCACTGGAACAGAATTGCTCTCAGACTGACATCACCAAGCTGCTCTTGCTGACAGAAGGGTTGGCCAGAGCTGAGGCCATGCCTCAGAGCCACCTCATCCAGCAGGATCCCTGGGAAACTGCAGCTGTCCTCACACGTTTCAGCTGGGGGTTTGGAAACTGCTGGCTTCCTTCTGCAGAGCTGTAGGCAGAAGAGGTTATGACACACAATGGTGAGACAACCTTTAGCCATTGTGCCAGTTTGGTAAGAGTGTGGATAGCGAGTGTGCCAAAAAATGAAGTTTCTTCAGTCTACACAAGGGAACTTTTCACAATTAATTATGAGGTGACATTATTGCAGTGACAAAGGTGTCACAAATCACACAAGGCCCTCTTGGTGCTGAGGGGCAGTTAGTGTAGCACCTGGAAGCTTCTGTGCAATTCAAAGCAGCTTTTCTTTGCTTTTAAAGTAAAAGCACCTGCAGCCTAACCCTGAAGAGCAGCTTCCAGCCAGCTGTGTAACTGATCCCAACACCAAGATCAGATGATTCAATCCAGTTTCAAGTGCTGTTGCACAACAGCAGAAGCTGTTCAGATTGTCCCAGCCCAGTGTTAAGTTTCTTCCCTTCTAACTGTCTTACCTGCCAGGCAGCTGGGACACATCTTACACAAGCAGACTTCAGGAGAAGAGGGGAGTTATCCAGGTACCACAGCACCACTCCGTGCTCCTGTCCCACTTCCTGCTGGCAGGGGAAGCCAACAATAAAGGAGGAAGGTTGTTCTGTCCCTACAAAGCATGCTTATTTTTGTAGTGCAAGGAGACTATAAATAAAATCTGCACTTTAGAGCTCCAGGGAAAAAAAATATGTTATTTTAGTAACAGATTAATAAACTATTTTAATATGAAAGTCTTTGTTTGGAAAGCTAAGGTGATGACCACGACAGCCGCGCTGTGGTTCCGAGCTGCGAGGCAGCCTCGTCGTTCCCAAGGAAAGCCAAGTCAAAGCAGCACGTGAGCACTGAAAATCCAGTTTATTTGCAGCAGTGCTTGTGTTGTACAAGTGAACTTGGTACCAGAGTTACCCCCCTGCTCACATTCAGCCCCCACATGTGCTGACCTGCAGAGTTAGCAGCAGTTTTAGTTGACAAGCAGAGTATTTCTACCCAAGATCACGTACCAGATTATTTTACAGTCTGAGGTGATTACTGAAGGGTTTCCAGGATATTCATTCTAGATGTAAGGAGCTACTGAAAGGTCAGTGACACCATATCTCAGTGCACCCGAGAGGTGAGGTACATCAGGATTACCCAGCTGCCAGAGGATAAGTGCAATTCCAACATCCACATTTAAACAAAAGCAACAGTATTTATAGAAAACCTTTGAGAACTTGAATTTAATAAACCAAGAAACATCAGCTTGCACTTCACATTTGTACAAAAACATAGAGAAACCACTTGCAAAAGACATATGAACTAGCTAGTAAAAACAACCAAAAAAAATTAAATGGTCCTCAGCAAGAGCATGTACAGCTTTTATGGGAAACAAAGATTACCAGAGCTAAGTATTGCCTCATAACAATTAAAAATCATAATTTGAATGTCTTTTACAAATACACAATATAAAAAACAGGTCAACTTGAACAGAACATTAACTGAATACTTATCTATGTATATACATATACACACTTAAGTATAGAAACTCTCCAAATACTAAAATAGGCCATAGTGGTGAGGTTACTAGCATCTGCTATTTAACTTGTAATGGAAGGAGATCAATGTCCCTGTGTGTGTGTTTGGGTGTAAGAGGGGTTTGTTGTCAGAACAACAGCAATCACAATTGGAACTGACCAGTGGAGCTTGACAAGGTCATCACCAGGCTGTCACCTGCATTTAATTTGTGAATGAAAGAGAAAGATTTGTAAAGTATTCATAAAACTCAATGTGGCATCCAACCTGCAGGGGAAGTATCTCCCCCTTGTAACCCTCAATATGAGGAATCATATAATGCCATTTGACCAGAACACAGTATAACTCTTTCTCTTAGAAACAGAGGAAAATCTGGATTGGTACCATCCTACACTGATGTCAATGAATGCAGCAGTCCAGAGGAGTATTTACACACGATTCTCTCCTCGCTAGGGTAAGGACACAACATGGCTTCCATAAAGGCATTTCACATTTTACCAGACCCGCTGACTGCAGACGTTTTGCTCACTTTTTCAGTAGCATCTTAGCAAAATCAGCATTGGACATCATTTTAGGCTCCTCGGGGACTTTGGAGGAAGTTGCTGGTGAATTCTGGACCATCCCATTCTCAGCCTTAGCCACAGGGTGGCTCTGGCGCTGCAAGGCCCGGGGCACCATTGAAAGCTGCGTCCTCCCCTTCCCTCGCCTGGAGAAGGAAAAGGGACAATTAAAGATATCCTAGTGCTCCTTGAACATACTCTTTTAGCTTGGGGAAACAAAAAGGGCTTCATTCGTTGCAAGGAATCCTCATTTGAGTATTACTGCTGCCATTTGTGGCAGTAATAAGCAGCACAAAGCTTTCAGGGAGTACCCTGTGGAACGGTGCGAGTCCCGGCAGCAAACCCTGCCCAGCAGGAGCTGCAGCTCTGTGGTTACCCACGGGGCACATACAACACACCCTTAATGCAACATTAAGCAGCAGGAGCACTCCTAAAAGCTGACAGAGCAACCTCAGTGCTTGCTGTGAGGAACAGCTGGTCCTCCAGAGTCAGAGGATAGGGGAATTATAAGCACTGAAGTGCTAAGATCAGATCCAACAGGAATGCTTTTATTGATCAGAGAATCAGAGTGGTTTGGGTTGGAAAGGACCTTAAAGATCATCTAGTTCCAACCCCCCTGCATGGGCAGGGACACCTCCCACCAGACCAGGTTGCTCCAAGCCCCATCCAACCTGCCCTTCAACACTTCCAGAGATGGGGCAGCCACAGCTTCCCTGGGCAACCTGCTCAGTGTCTCACCAATCTCACACTAAATAATTTCCTCCTCATGTCTAACCTAACCTCCCCTCTTCCAGCTTTAACCCATTACCTCTTGTCCTCCTGCTACATGCTCTAATAAAAAGCCTCTCCTCAGCTTTCCTGTAGCCCCTTCAGGCACCAAAAGGCCACTATGAGGTCTCCTCAGAGCCTTCTCTTCTCCAGGCTGAACAACCCCAACTCTCCCAGCCTGTCTCCATAGGAGAGGTGCTCCAAGCCCTGATCTTCACAACCTCTGATAAGAAAAACCACCCTGCTTTTCCTCATCAATCCAGCAACCCAAATGTTGATGGCTCAGCACCCTTTAGACACCCTCTAGCTAACACTCCTAACACAGCAGCACATGAAGAAGCCCAGCATTCCCAGCCAACACTCACGCTCCGTAGGGGGGCCGGGGCCCAGCGCCCGGCGCGGCCCTGCCCGCCTCAGGCCTCTCGGGGGGCCTGCGCAGGGGGGGGTTGCTGATGGCCACCTTGATGACATGTTCCTTCACTGTCATCCTGTCCATCTTCAGCACAGCCTGCGAGGCCTGAGCCTCATTTTCGTATTCCACATAGGCCAGGCCCTAAATAAGGAAAAGGGGAAACCCACATCAGCCTGAGTGCTTCCAGCTCAGCCAGGCAGCTTTGGCTAATGGTTCAACCAGCTGGTAAGAAAACTGTACAGAAAGCAGACCTAAGAGTCCCAGTATTCTTTACCTAAAAGAAGTTATCTACACAAACCTACAACCTGCATTTTTTGACTCCCATTCACAATGCCCTGGTTTGTAAAAGAGGTGTAAGCATGAACAAACAAAAAGAAACCCAAGATCCCACTAAATATAATGAAGTGCTGCATCAGTGACAAGTCTTCAGCTCTAAATGTCTACTATACAAACACCCAGGTTGAATCTGGCACTGGACAGATTTGGATTCATAGCAGAAGAAAAGGTAACTCAATCTATGGAGCTAGAACAGAAGGATCCACCCAAACTGTCCTGTGATTCTTCACTCAGCTCGTACCTAAGGCATCAAGGCCACTAACATGGGGCTATTGTGGCCACCTTGGTTTCAAGGGCAGTAAAGCCCATCTTGAGCAGCTCCAACAG